AAAAATACTAAACATGTGAAATCTTTTATTTCTAATGTAAATAGTATAAATAACACCAAGTCGTGTTTAACTTTCCGAAATTGCGAACTGTTTGGAATTGTTGACAATGCGGTATAAATTTCAAAAACCACATTGTACATTTGGACCAATATCTCCCGATTTGTCATTTTTGTGAGACCAACGATTAGACACGGAATTAGTTTAATGATTAAGGTAAGATTTGCGCTCAAGTTTATCGAGTTACACACAATAAATCATAGGTAGACTAAGGCAACTAAATGTTGAATTTTGCCGGTTTCAACTCATCCTTACTCCTATTGATAGACTCCTGATGATAATGATAGCGCAAACTGACGGGAACACTTCACAGAAGCCTATGTATGTTACATATAGAAAATATTATTATATTTTCTATATAATTTCATTTCATTATTTATAATTTTTGACTTTTTTATTTTAATGACTTTTATCTTTTGATTTCTTATGATTATTTACTGTTGGGATGGGATGGGATGGAATGGGATGGTATGTGATGGGATGGGATGGCATGGCATGGCATGGCATGGCATGGGATGGCATGGGATAGGATGGGATGGGATGGGATGGGATGCGGTGCGATGGGATGGGATGGGATGGGATGGGATGGCATGGCACGGCATGGCCTGGGATGCGATGAGATGACATGCGATGGGATGAGATGGCATGCAATGGGATGGAATGGGATATGGGATGGGATGGGATGGGATGGGATGCGGTGCGATGGGATGGGATGGGATGCGGTGCGATGGGATGGGATGGCATGGAATGCGATGGATGGATGGATGCATAGATAGATAGATAGTTCGATTTTTTTGGGTATTTTCCAACCAAGCGGCCACCAACTGAGTCACGCCACTGATTTCCCTGGGCAACGCCGGGTATCGCGCTAGTCTATATATATAAAGTTGTTCAGCCGAATTAGTCCGTTCGCGCATAACTAGAGAACTACGTAGCCTAGCGGAAAACTGAAGATATATTCAGAATCTCCACGTCTGGGAGATGGTTCTGGCTAAAACAAAAATTTAAAAAAGTTACAAAGTTAAAAATTAAAAAAAATTCTATTCGTCAATAGATGGCCGTGCGTACAGCCTAACATCTCCAACGTGTTAATCAAACTCCACGACAGATGTAACCTGTATGATACAGGCGGTTCCGGTTCCGCTTCACTACACTAACCGCCTGTACCCCTTGCTTATTCAGCCCGCTTCGCAAACCAAGAAATCATTGCGCCCAATCAGAGAGCTGTAACGGGCCAATCAGCCAATCAGCGAGCAGGCTTTTGCCTGACGTCATTTCTCAAGTTATTCAAGCCATAACAACCGGTCGATCGATAACGAGGCTTGCGAACCGCCAGGGTTGAGCTCGCGTACAGGCGGTTAGTGTAGTGAAGCCGAACCGGAACCGCCTGTTTCATACAGGTTACGACAAATGGCGCTCTCGCTCATTAGCTCAATCTACCACTGCCACAAGTAGATTTTCGGTTACAATTTGTAACGCTTTTTTACCACAAGTTTTACAGCGGCCAGGTTACTCGTATCCTATGTAATAAGATTTGTACTAATAAAAGTTGCAAAGATATTAAAAATCCGACCATTATTTTATGAGAAATTTGATAAAATAGTGATACGAAATAGTGCGCCCATTTACTACTTTCAAATCATTACGCTGTTCACTAAACCAAGTTCAGTGTTTACTTTAATATTAGCATGAATTTTTCGGATGCTTGCCAATATACCTGAATTCTCGAACATTGTCTTCGCATGTATTTTTGCCGTATTCAGCTTAAAACATCTAAATTTGCTCACCAAAAAACATGCAAATCATAGAAAATTTCTAATCGTTTGTTCGGCGGCGACTTCCGGCCGTTGAATTGCCATTTTGCTGGGATTTCCCCGGAGCTCCGTCCATTTGAAAAATAGTGCTAAGCATTGTGGCAGTGGTTATCCTGCGTGTGGCAAAGGGGGGGGCGCTGCATTGCATGTTTGCGTGTATAATCATGTTCTTTAACCATACCGCCGCCCAGTGCGCCGAATGGATAAAGCCATCGGGACTCCAAAACCATTGATTCTGGTTCGAATCTATCACCTCGGGAATATTCTGTTTCTTTACTTCTTGGGACTGTATTAGTATAGTACTTCTGCCCCACTTCCACCGTTAGTTTCAATTTGTTTTTTTTACGATCATTTAAACGTTTCAGTAAAAATTCAGAAATAAACTAGGTACATGATAATTAATACGCGCAAACTGACGGGAATACTTCAACGGGCGGAAGCCGTTATGTAGGTTACAGATAAAATATTAGTTATCTTTTTTGATATAATTTTATTTCTCCCCAGCCTGGGAACGTTATTTTACCCCTTTTTATTTCCTTTTTTCCCCTTACCTACTTCTTTAGTAATGCATTAATTTTATTTTTTTAATTTTTTAATTTTAATTTTTAATTTTTAATGTCTTTTATCTTTGTATTTTTATTATTTTTTACTGTTTGGAATGGGATGGGAATGGGATGGGATGGGATGGGATGGGATGGGATGCGGATTGGCGATTGGCGATGCGGATGGGATGGATTCGGGATGGCGATGCGATGGGATGGCAGCGATACGCGATGGATGGAATGGCATGCGGATGGGATGGGATGCTGGTGGATGGATGGGGGATGGGATGGATGGCCATGGCACTGGATTGGGGATGGGGGATGGGAGTGGGATGGATGGATTCACTGGGATGTCATGTGATGACATGGGGATGGCATGGGAATGCGATGGGATGGACTGGATGGGAAGGCATTGAGGCCATGGAATGGCATGCATGGATAAGATATGTTAGATTATTTTTTGGTATTTTTCCTTTCAAACAAGCGCCGTTCACCAACTGAGTAACGCGCCACTGTTTCCCCGGCAACGCCCGGTATCCCGCTACGCTGCCATAAATATAAACAAAACGAGGAGCAGGGGCAATACTCATACAAGATGTCCACACTCACGCACGCACAGACTTGCCGGCACACTGCGAATGCGCACACGTTTAATACAAGCACACTATATAAACGAGCAGCACTTATCACGCGCACACACGTACGCATGCAAACAAGCACGCACGCACGCACCGCACGGCACGCACGCAACACTCGCACGCACGCACGCACGCACGCACGCCACACTCGGCACGCAGCGCACGCACGCACGCACGCCACGCACGTAACGCCACAATATGCCTAACAAACGCATTCGTACTTGATTCTCTGTTGACTGGAATGTCTCCTCTGCTGACTGGAAAGAATCGGCGAAGCCATGCACACCTCTGTGCGTGCTTTCGTTGCCATAGAGACCGACGCCCAGAACGCCGCTGAAATCATAAATAAATAAACAAACACTGAGTATTGACTAAGCGCATGAATAATGCTCCCATGCAGACATAACAAACAGGTACACGACTGATTCTTCTTCTCCCATATCGCTTCGTTTTGTCAGAATAGGCCTAAATGTAGCATATTACTATACGCACGCACATTGAAAATAGACACACGCACGCACGCACGCACGCACGCACACACGCACGAACGCGCTCATGCACGCACGAACGCGCTCATGCACGCACGAAAGCGCTCACACACGCACGAACGCGCTCATGCAACGCACGCACGCACGCGCCCACGCACGCACGAACGCGCTCACGCGTGCACACGCCGCACATATATACTTCAACAGCTGTGCCATCTCTCACAGTGGGAGTGAAGCTATACAGTTTCCATTGCGAGCAGGCGATAGCCAAACAGGGCTACATGTTCCACGCAGGGTGTCGCTCCCCCCCCCTACCACCACCACCACCACCACCCAGCGGCCCACGGCTTATTCGACCACACTGCGGCACCATCGCCGCTGTTTACCTCAGCGTGAATTCCTGCGCCGCGCAGAAAGCCAAAATAAACAAGCAATACGATACAAAATGTGACCGACAGCAAATTATATGTGCCGGGGCCTTCGTAACGTTAACGGTAGCGTTACCGAATGAGGATGTGGAGAAAGGCTGAGGAAAAAGGGGGCAGCGGTCCACGCTGAAGAGGGATGAGAATTCGGGGGGGGGGAGGAGGCTGAGGAAATAATGAGAGCGATCTACGATAACGAGAGATGAGGATGCGTATGGAGGCTGAGGAAAGAATGGGAGCGATCTACGATGACGAAGGCTAAGGATGCAGAGGAAGTAGGCTGAGGAAAGAATGGGAGCGATCTACGATGACGAAGGATGAGGATGCAGGGGGGGAGAGGCTGAGGAAAGAATGGGAGCGATCTACGATGAGGATGAGGATGCGGGGGAGAGAAGGTGAAGAAGAAGTGGTGGTGATTGATGGTGACGAGTAACAAAGAATACAATAGAATATGAATAACGTGTGAATGCGCTTATTTTCTTATTTACCTGCTTACGTAAAAAAGGGTTTCCTATTTGATTTTGGTAACCGAGTATCAATATTTTTGGGCACATGCACTCACAGAGAGCACACCATACCCTGCGAGCTTGCTAACATTTACCAAGCCCCATCTACGATTGGCTTTGTCTGGCTGTAATAAGCTGTGCACAACACAGCAAACGTGAAGCATCCTCTAGCAGGATCCCAACGCTGCGCCCGTATATATATATCAGCGAACAAGACCGATATATCGTCACGAGTGTTGGCCACACATAGCAATCCCAGGGGCAGATGAACAAGCAGCACATGCTGATTGTTGACGGAGGAATTATCTGCGCATATGAATGCCACCAGCTTCAGTTATACCAGCTGGCGGGATGCATGATCGAGGTTAAACACCACCGCGCCTTAGCCGCGCATGTAGCATAATCCCTGATGCAGGCTTTATTTTACAGAGAGAGGGAGAGAAGGAGAGAGAGAGAGATGAAGAGAGAGTGAGAGATGAAGAGAGAGCAGATAGAAGATAAGGAGAAATAGACCGATATGAGATCGGAGAGAAGAGAGGAGAGACGAGAGAGAGAGAGAAGACGCGGAGCGAGAGAGACGACCGAAGACGCGAGAGCAGAGACGAGATAGAGAGAGACGAGAGAGATAGACGGATCGCTAGATCGAGCAGCTACGATCGACAGAATCCTAGCTACGAGAGAGGTGCGAGCAAACAGCTTGTGTTCGCTTCTGAGCTCAAACACCGCACCAGATGGCACGACGGAGACACTCAAGCTGCTGGCTCCAAGAGCAGGCATGGGAGTTCACGAGAGAGAGTGCGAAGCAGAGTAGACGATCAGGCAGAGCAGAGCAGCAGAGAGCAGCAAGATCGGAAGAACGCAGCGAGAGCAGCCAGAGACCATCACATCAGACAGATCCCTCAT